GACTTTGTTGGGGTGTGTTTATGTGTGTGTTTGTGAGCCCCCCCCCTCACCTGCCCTCTCTGTGATAGAAGAAGCAACCACTTGTTGATGCTCTTTCACCTGGGAAAGGGAGGAAGGGTAAAGAGAAGTCTCAGCTACTCAAGGCAGCGCCTCCAGGGATGCTTAGGACACATCCACTCCTTTGGATGCGGGATTTCTTAGAAAGACAGGTGCCTCTGATACCTTGAAGTTTAACCAGGCAGCTTCCTCTCTGGTAGTAGTTCTGCTGTAGCCCCTTGCTTTAGTAGTTCTGCAACAGCTTCTTGCATAAGTAATTCTGCCGTAGCCCCTTGCATTAATAGATCTGCTGTAGCCCCTTGTATTAGTCCTGCAAAGGAACCCACCCAAGACCAGCACTAGTGCATTGCAGAAAGTTGGTTTTCCACCTCTGGGACCCCTCACCCCCAAGATCTGTATATTCTTTATTTTTTTATATATATATTTTATTAACATATACTATTCAAACATATCTATAAAATTGACACACCAATTTCTTTTTCAATAATTATATACAAATATTTACAATTGACTTCCAAAGTATCTCCAGTTTGTACTCAACCTTAGTTCAATGTTCACTCATTGTCTTCATATATATGTAATTTTAAATATTGAATCCACTGTGTGTTATAACAATAGCTTTAATTATCTTGATCTTTAATAGTCACTTTTCACCTTTTATTTAGTCAGTTTACTAATTTAGGGTAACCCATCAGTCTATATCTCTATTCAATTAAATTTTCTCTTTTACAGTATTGCAGTATCGGAGTCCAGTCTTGTTCAGTACTCTCTACATTTTGTTTATTTAAGATCTGTATATTCTTTAAAGGGGGCTTTGAAGCTGCTTCAGAGTGGGACTGTCTTGACAGAAATATACCTCTCTTCCCCTCTGGTCCCCCTCCCCCCCCAAAAAACCTGCACTCCAGTGGGAGCACAAGAAGATGACGCCTGAATGTCCTCTAACTTTAGCCAGGTCTGTAAGAGTTAAGAGGACTGCAGGGCTTTTGGATTCTTAATACATGTGGCATCGATGGCACCTAGTTGCCTCTACCAGGCACATTTTCTATCTGATCATCATAGAGTTGGGGGGGGGGGCAGGATCTCCTTTGTAGTGTACTAGGGCATCTAGCTGGTTGTTGGGCACCTGCCATGTAAATGTGTCTTCAGGATTACAGAGTTGCAACACAAGTAACTCACTTAAGAATAAATAAGCAAAAGCTTTTACCGTAAATAACCAGATTTTATCATTCAATTTCTTCCTTCAACAAGTGCTTTCACCCTCCCTCTAAGCATGAAACTGGTGATTGGTTCTCTTTCTATATGATATAGGTAAATGAAGACTTGCTGTGTTTTGGTATCCTTGATATCAATGCATTGAACTGCATGGGTTGATATCTGGTAAAATTAATTGTTTTTCTATCTGATTTTCCAACATTACAAATAACTGTTGAACTACCTTGGAAATTTCAAAATTCTGTTTTACATGGGCTGAATATTAACGGCTACTGTGCAACAGCTTTAGAAGAATGGAGAGGCTTCTGATAATTGAAATAATATTAGGAACAGGAAGCGTTCTTAGTATTAGTTTTGTAGGTTATGCTTAGAGTATATTTTCCTCCTCCTCCTCACTCCAGTCAGTATTCAGTAATCTTGCATACTTAGAGAGAAGGAGCCTAGCAATGATTTTATTGCTTCACTTATAAATATTAGACAAAGATCACATTCTAATCTCATTGAAACAGCTGGATACATTTTCCAATAAATGTGTAGAAAATGGAGTTGCCTGATTACCTATATGCAAATCTGATATAAATCACAACACACCTTTTATGTGTTAGCAGCTGATAGCACACACTGTGTTTGCGTGTGTGCACGCTTTCAGGTCATCTGTTGACTTATGGCAGTCCCTTGAATTTCATAGGGTTTTTTTGAGGCAAGGAATATTCTGAGGTGGTTTGCCATTTTCTTCCTCTTAAACATAGCCTAGAGTACCTGACATTTGTTATTGGTCTGTAAGCTCATAATTTCTGAGCCTCAAAAGAACATGAAGAGCACTGGCCATTTGTTGTTGCCTGTCAGGTGTCACACACATTCCTTTACAGTTTTGCATTTTTCAAGCAGGTAACAAAAACAACAGGTTTATTAAGCCCTAGATGAGCTGCATAACTAGCATGCTGTGTTTGGCTAGATGAGTCATACTCATCTAAGGTTGTACTAGAGAATTATTACAGTAGTATTGCTGGCAAACCCATTGACTCAAATGATCTTGGATGAGTTTAAGGTTCTCATCCTTGTGTTCTAGGAGTGAACTTTGCAGACCGGCTTTATTTTTAAAAATCTCACT